TCAGATGACCCCAGCCAGATGCCTATCCGGCCTTCTCTTAAAGACCCCCAATGTAGGAGAGAGCACCACCTCCCTTGGAAGCCCATTCCAAATTTTGGCCACCCTCACCATGAAGTTTTCCCTAATATCTAGCTTAAATCTGCTCTCTGTCAGTTTGTGACTGTTCCTTGTTACCCCGAGAGGCACCCTGGTGAATAGAGCATCTCCGGTTCCTTCCTGCGTTCCCCTAATGAATTTGTAGATGGCCAGTGAATTTGTAGGCAGCCACAAATTGTAGCAACTTTATACATTTTACATATGTAGAATTACAATTCCATACATAAATTGTCATACAACCAGGGTCATCTTCTATTCAAGTAAATACAGTACTGTGCTAGCCCAACATTTCCCCTTGCCTCATAACCACTGGGGCGCTCCACTATTGCTGCTGCTGCTGTTGCTTCACACAAGCACTGGGGATGCTGCTCCACTGCTGCTGTTGTTGCTCCCCACCACTGCTAGGCCTGCTTGCTGCATCATTGCAGTCGCTCCACCAGAAGGTGCTGCTCTGGCCCTGCACACAACTGCTGGCGGACACTGTTCTGCTGGTGCTGTCACTCCACACCACCACTAAGGGGCACTCGTCCCCTTCAGTTGCTAATGCAACCCAGCTCTTCTAATCCTTAAACAGGCTCAGGAATTTTGGCTTTTCTAGAATTTAGTACAGTCGTGTCAAAAGATACAGACTGCAGGCCAGATCCAGATGACAGAGCCACATCCTCCAGCCTCCTATACAGGGTTAGTCTTGGGCCCTATCTGGCATGTGTGTGTGAAGGAATGTTCCATGGGTCCCCCACACAGTAGATCCTGTGTTCATCCTGGGCGGCCACTTGAAGCACCCAACCCATCAAGTCCAGGACCTGTGTGGCATGTGGTGTCCACCCCATACCAGCTGCAGCAGGTGCTGTATACAGTCTTGCAATCCCAGACAAGCTGGAGCAAGCAACACAGGTGCTGGATTTGGTATGCAAAATGCTTGGCAGGGTCCATGGGTCCAATCTGGCCCATGGGGCCAGCCCTGTACCCTTTCAGCTTTTTAGAAAAAGAACAAGGAGGCTTGTAGACAGTGGAAACAAGGGGTAGTCACCAAGGAGGAATACACAAGTATATCCCATATTTGTAGGGAGAGGATAAGGAAGGCAAGGGCAGCGCCCGAGTTCAGGTTGGTGACCAAAATCAAGGACAATAAGAAGTCCTTCTTTAGGTATATAGGGAGCAGGAGGAAGATCAAGGGAAATGTGGGGCCCTTGCACAGTGGGATGGAACAGTTGATAACAGATAGTCAGGAGAAAGATGAACTCTTTAATGAATACTTTGCATCGGTGTTCCTGCATACAAATGGTGGTCGCCCGCCTGGTCGGACACTGGACGGATGCAGGGGGGACAATTGCCAACCAATGGTCAGTGCCAAACTGGTGAGGGAGCACTTAGAGCGGATGAATGTCTTCAAGTCGGCAAGACCAGATGGACTACACCCAAGAGTGCTGAAGAAATTGGCTGGCATCACTGCGGAACCGCTGGCGAAGGTATTTGAAGACTTGTGGTGCTCGGGAGAGGTCCCAGAAGACTGGAAAAGGCCCAGTGTGGTGCCAATCTTTAAGAAGGGGAGGAGGGAGGATCTGGGAAACTATGGGCTGGTCAGTTTGACCTCAATACTGGGGAAAATTTGGAGAAAAAATTATCAAGTTCATTTGTGAGAGACTGGCAGAAGGCATGATGCTGAAGGATAGCCAACATGGCTGTATTGTGGACATGTTGTGTCTGACCAACCTCATCTCCTTCTGTGATCAAGTAACAAACCGCTTAGATGTGGGAGACACAGCTGATGTCATATACTTGGATTTTAAAAAGGCCTTTGATACGGTTTGCCATGACTCTCTTATAAAAAAAACTGGGGGAATGTGGGCTGGCAGAGTCCATGGTCAGGTAGGTTGGGAAATGGCTAAGGGGTTGAACCCAGAGAGTGTTAGTGGATGGGTCTGTATCATCTTGGTGGAAGGTGGCAAGTGATGTCCCACAGGGTTCAGTTCTTGACCCCGTGCTGTTCAACATCTTTATCAATGATTTAGATGAAGATATGGAGAGTGCACTGGCCAAGTTTGTGGATGATACTAAGTTATGGGGAAAAGCAGTCACACAAGGGGATAAGATGCGGATCCAAGCAGACCTGGACAAGCTGGCAAGGTGCACAGAGTGGAACTGGATGCAGTTCAATAAGGATAAATATATAGTGCTTCATCAGGGGAAAAGTAATCAGCAACATGAATATAGTTTAGGAGGAGATGTCCTGGCCAGCACGATGGCTGAAAGGGACCTTGGGGTTATGGTTGATTGCAGGATGAACATGAGCTGCCAGTGTGACACTGTAGCCAACAAAGCTAATAGCATACCGAGATGCATTAGCCAATGCGTCATGAGTGGGGCCAAGCAAGTGATACTTCCGCTGTACTTGGCACTGGTGAGACCCCAGCTGCAGTACTGTGTCCAGTTCTGGGTGCCACACTTCAAAAAGATATGGACAATCTTGAAGGGGTCCAGAGAAGGGCCACAAGAATGACTAAGAGCCTGGAAGACAAACCTTATGAGGAAGACTAAGGGATCTGGACTGTTCAGCCTGGGAAAGAGAAGACTGAGGGGGGACTTGGCGGCCATCTATAAGTATGTAAGGGGTGAATATCAGGAGCTGGGAGAAAAACTGTTCACTAGGGTGCCCCAGGGGAGGACAAGGATCAATGTCCATAAACTGTTAGAGGATGGTTTCAGGTTGGATGTAAGGAAGAACTTCTTTACCAGAATCTGGACTAGACTTCCCAAGGAGGTGTTGCAGTCCCCAACCATGGAAGTCTTCAAGAGGAGACTGGACAGACACCTTGATGAGATAATTTGATCTCAGAAGTATTCCTGCCCAGAGCAGGGGGGTTGGACTCGATGATCTTTCAAAGTCCCTTCCAGCCCTTAATTTCTATGATTCATCTGGCCTGTGAACTGTTCTCATGCCAGTCATCTGGCCCACGGGACCAGATGATTTTTATACACTGGTTTTAGTGGATACAGACCTCAAGCTGACCCACTACTAAAAACTGCACTTATTGATACTCTAAGGATTTCAGCTCTTTAGAAACAAGTGGATGACAAGTCCTAAGCTGAACCCAGGTTAGGGAGTTGCATTTCACAAATACTCTTTCCTGTGCGGCTTGATGGCAGACTACAACACCATGCCAGAGGCAGCTTCCTTCACAGATTCAACTAGGGCTTCATTGTCACCTCTGACCTGAGGGTCTCTCCAAGTCATAGTGATTGCTGAACCCTCAGCAACCTTTCCAAGTTTTCTCTTACAATATTAGTACCCTTATGAAAGTCACCATTTTGAAAGGGAAGGTCAGTGCACCACAAACCTGACTCACCTGGCTCCTTGTAGTCAAACAATTAAAATACAGTTAAAACAAGTGAATACAGGAAAACAGGCATAAATTGTTCTCATTCCTTCAGCCATACATACCAATGTGGATATGTAGATAAGGGACACAGTTCTCAACTATCAGAATGTGTATCCCAATAGGGATATTCACACGGATGGGGAGCATCTATATGTTCAATTAATTTGAAGCAATAAATTGCAGCCTAGTTTGCACTGGAGTTTACTCCTCCCAGATGCACCATTTGAACATGTGCCCAGGACTGGAGCATGCTGAGGCAGGTCGGAGCAGCCCCGACTGGCAAAGAACCAGGGGGAGGGGGGCAGGGTGTCAGCCTGCCAGCCTGCAGCTGCTCTGACCTGGCCCAGTGTGCTGTGGAGGAGCTAGCTGGGGCATGAGGGTACTCCAGTGCAGGTCTAGCTGGCAGGCAGCCCGCACACTGAAGCACCCTCATGCCCCAGCCAGTCGCATCAGTGCCTACATGTGTGTTGCTGCTCACAAAAAAAACTCTGAAGCAGGGTAGTATTTGTAGACACTAAAATTTACTATGGAGCTAATTGGGCAGCTCCATAGTAACTGTCTCATGTAGACATGCCCAGGTTGTGAGAAAGACCATAGGTGTACATTAACTGGGTTACAGTCAGTCATACACTATTGTTTCTGCTCATTGATTAGGTGACCAAACCTTTTTACATCTAGAGAATGACAAACATCACTTTGGGTGAAGTTACAGTTAGATCATGGTAAGGTCTCTTAATATGTGGCTGTTTACATGTTAAAGTTCCTTAGCTTGTGCTAAGTGCCTGCTGAGTGTTTCAAAATTACACTACTTCAGGTGAGGGTTAACTCTGGGCTGTGCAACCTAGCTCAGTGGCGACATGTAGGGGGTGTACATGTAGGGGGTGCCCCTCTCCCCAGGGCAGCTAGATTGGCCACAGGGGGACCCCCCCCCCCCACCCAGTTAGTGGGACTGGTCGCGGGGGGGGCATGTGCCCTGCCAAATAAGGCGGCAGCAGTCACTCATGACCTAGCTTGTGTTATAGTAACTTCAGTCTGCTCCTGGGAGATAAAATGAGAGATTTTCAGTCCTCCGGCACCCCAGGGTACGCCGTTCCCAGCCCTCCTCCCCCACCTACAGCAGGGATAGAGCCCAGTGTCCTGGTTCCTAGCCACATCCTCTAGTGATAACTCTGAGCTGTGCAGACCAGAAATAGTGTTATCCCTTAACATGCAACTGCTCACAGCATGCTCTAACTTTAATGCTTTTAACATGCCACAGATTTAGATGGTCTAAATGTAATGTATAATTTCACCCTTTCTGAAATTACACTTCTGACGTGTTTTTAGGCTAAGCATCACTTTGGGACTTGTTATCCTTTCCCCAGTTCTTTGATAATGACTCCAGATATTCAGAAATGACAAATTCACAGCAAACTGATGTCTGTGCTTATACTGGTGAATAATATTCTTATTGTGGAAGCAGTTCTCTTTCTAGCCTGTCCTCAGTTAAAGGGTACTGGCAGGAAACGTATGCATGTTTCACTCCTTGTGGTGTATCTTTTGTCCTCTGTCCTCCTCCAGGTGCTGGTGAATTGCAATAGTCTAGCTATTCTCACAGCTAAAGCAACTCTCAATTAGATTAGGAGATAGAGGCCTGTGCTATTTGGTGCTGAGGGCTCTACAACTGATCTCTGCAGACAGCATCAGATGCTTTGTTGTGTCGCTTGCACACAGATTCTCCTGTGCAGCACTGAAGCGTGCAGAATTCCTCATCAATTGCAGCACACGTCCCACCACTCTCAGCCAGGTGCCATGTGCTCAGCATCTTAGTGTTGGCATGGTATTGAGGGCGGTGAGAGACAGGTCTTCCAATATCCAGCCATTTCCTTTTAAAGCAACTTTTAGCTTACAGTAAAAAATCTAAGCCTTCCACCAAAACCCCAATTCCTCCAATTTGCTCTCCTTGTTTCTTCTACTATTGCCTCCAAATTCTTTCCACAGATTCTCGGGGCATGTTCACTATCCAGCTGCCTATCAGTGAGAAGTTGGCCCCCGATGCCAGGTTGCTGGTCTACACTGTGCACCCTCATAGGGAGGTGGTGGCTGATAGCACTTACCTGAATATAGAACGGTGCTTGAAGAACAAGGTGAGAACTTCATTTTCTCTTCAAGACCTTCCCCATATTGCCACAAGCTAGGGGAACCAGGCAGGTGTCACTCCATTTACATCAGCCCTGGACTTAGGCTATCCTGATAGGAGAGACAGGAAAGAAGGTGCCCATCTGGAGGACTAACAAAGTGAATGGTAGTATCGACAAGAATAGAAAGGAAATAGAAGAAGTTTACAGGGAGAAAATAGATGGAAACAGCAGTGAAGGGAGGAGAGGGAGATGGATGAGGGTAGAAATGGTCATGTCAGTCCCAGAACAGGGCCTCCAGAAGACTATTTGATGGTGAGGACTTTGATTCACAGAGATGGTGAAAGATGAGAACCTATTCATCTTCCCACAATGTTGTCATTTATGCACCAAAATGCTTTTCCTCAGTAGCTACCATTTCTCCACTCAATTCCAGGTCCAGCTGGAGTTCTCTGAGAAACAGGGGCTTCCAGGCTCTGATGTCAACCTCCACGTTGAAGCTGCTGCCAACTCATACTGTGCCCTGCGGGCTGTAGACCAGAGTGTCTTGCTTCTGAATCCTGAGAGAGAGCTCTCTCCAGAGACTGTAAGTCTTGCCTCCAAGCCTTACACTCCCTTTACTCAGAAATATCTAGTCTACCATGTCATTAGTTTAACATGGCAGGGATGTGCCTACAGGCAGTTCTGAGTTCTCCTTCACGACCCTGCTTCCAAAGATCTTTTCTCCCGTAGACCCAGCATGCAGTATGGTGGGATGTAACTGAGTCCATCTGCAAGGTCTGCTTGTGTTACTACTTACTGCACTAGCAGTTACCATCTTAGCACTTCCTAGTTACCAGGTCACAGCTCACATGGGAATAACAAAAACCGGCAGAAACCAGGCCCTGAAAATGTTTAAATCTCCCATAGATTTATGGAACCAAAGATGTGTGTGAAGATTCAGTTCTATTGGTGCAGCTGGTAGAAAAGCAGTAGTAGGGCTAGTACTCAGACTTTGAAATTCACCTCTCTTCTGACCCACCTACTGTTGGGTGTGATTTCCCAAGACTGTATGCCAATCTGAGACCTTTCCTTATGCTTGCCTATTTTCATCCCTGTCCACCAGATCTACTCTGAGTTACGTACAGGAAACTTGTATGGCTATTACTACCAAGGACTCAACTTGGAAGATGACAACAGTGAGCCTTGCATCCCCTATAAAAACGCCTTTTTCAATGGCTTGTATTATGTGCCCGTGAATGTTAGTCATGATGGTGATGTCTACATGATTTTCAGGGTATGTGTTCTGAATACCTCCCTTACCCTGCTACTATCTTATTGCCTTTGTGCAAAGAGCGGCATAGGAGGTAAAAACTGAAGAGAGACTTAGGCCTCTGATCTTTTAATGTTGTTCAATAAATGGTTCATACTGCTATGGGAGAAGGTGAGTTTGCTGGAGGCATTGAGGGTCTCCGATAGCTCCCATTCTCCTCTGGCAGTGATGCTTTTTTATGCCAGCCTGTTAATTACTATTAGTTGTATTTATTCAATTGCACCTATGATATAGTAGTCATTTGCCAAATCAGACACCATCCCTGCTCCCAGAAGCTTGCAGACAAAAAAACAGACAGAGAATGGGGAGAGGGTTACAACATGCAGGCAGAGTGGGTCAGAAAGAAAGCTACAGGATGAACTGTTGGTTTTATTTCTCAGTGCTCTTGTGTGAACCTAAGCTACTTCTGGTGTGCTGGGACTTGATGATACCTTGTTAATTCCCTACTTATATCCTGATGCCTTCAGGTCTCGAGGAAGGAAATGAGTGATGAGAGAATAACGTGGGATGGAATCCTCACCCCATGATCTCAAAGGGAGTTTTGTCATTGACTTCAATGGGGGCAGGATTTCACTCCTAGTATATTAGCCCAGTAGAGGGAAGAGCATGGAGGAAGTTACAGGAACTTGCTCCCAGTGTATAGGCAACGATTCCCAGCCAGGGTGCCAAGATTTTATTAATGGTGCCATGCCACCCAGTCCCTGCATGAGGAGATAAATATTCTCCTTCCCTATTTGGCACTCTGTGACTGCAGTGCCTGTGAAAGTTTCTCTGGGAATTGCCACTGCCTTTCCATGTCTTTTCTACTTCCAAGCGGCCCTGGTGGCAGCCCCCTCCATATTCTCAGCAGCACTGTCTGCTGCAAGTGGGCAAGTGCGCAGACCAACAGACAGACCTTCGATTTGCAACCCAACTCATACCTTCCAGTTGTCTCACACTCCTGGGGCCGGTGGTAAGGGCCATGAGGGCAGTTGCTGTCATGTAAAACCCTTCAGGTGCAATCTTAGTGGCAGGGGCTGCTCTTGCTCTCTGAGGTATGGACAAGGGGTGGGAAAGGTGCAGACAGTGGAAAGAGCAGGGCATAGTGGAGTGAAGTCCTGCCCCTGTTGCCCTTGAGTGGCACCAGCCAGATCAATTATTCTTTTTTAGCCTTGAGGCCTCCTCACCCATATCTTTTCTGAATTTAGATCTTGCTCAGTGATTTTTAACTGAGATACCATAAATTCAGACAAGCTATGAAGAGGGTCCTTGAGGCTCTGAGGGTTGAGAACCACTGTATTAAGGTTTCATTTACACCTGGCTTATAAGGAGTCAATAAACCACTTCTATTGGCCTCATGTTGCCATGACTCCTTTACCCAGCAGTGATGGGCAGACCTGAGTACTACCACTGCTGCTGTTGAATGACCAGCAGATGTCATTGATAAACGGCCTAGTGATACATGAGCCACAGTGAAACCAAGTCTTGCATTTAACTATGCTAAAAGCACAGAAAATGGAGAGTGAGGCAGGGAAAGAAAAGAAGGGTGCTTGCCTTGCCTTGCCATTTATTAATAAATAAGATGTAGGATAGGTGATGTGCTTTGATGATTAATTAGTAAATTCAGTAAACAACACAATTAATCAATATATTATTTTATTTTAAGGATCTGGGTCTCAAGATTTTTACCAACTCTATGACAAGGAAGCCAGTTGTGTGCAAAACAGAAAAAGCATGCCCTGAAAAAGATGTATTTCATAAGGATGCAGGTACTGCATAAAAAATAAAGAAGTGGGCTAGATGGCCTGGGACAAGACATTAGAGGTTTTCTCTTCCACTTGCAGTTGATCACTTCCAATCAGCCTGCTCCTCAGAATTGTTCTTGGGTAAAATAAATTTGCCAGTAAGCATGTCTGATTTCACTGTGACAGATCCCCACACCGTGACTTGCCTTACATGGTCTGTGGCAGATAATCCCTGCAGAAATAGAGAATGACCCCCTGCTGGTTGGGTGTAGGAGGAAAATGGGAAAGGGAAGGAAGGCTGCGGCTTTGCCTCTTTCAGAGGAAGAAAACAATTTTATTCTTCAGAGTTGATCATTCTAGAGACTTTTACCAGCTCAACAGTGGCTGAAAAATCTAAATAAGGCAAATCAGTTAAAAAATATAATGGGGCCATTAATAGCCCTAAGATACTATAATACTTAGCATTTAATATCTATAGATCTCAAAGCCTTTTGCAAAGAGAACAGGTATTATAATTATCCTTCTCCCTATGCCATGGAGATGAAAAATTATCATCATCCTCACATAACACATGGAAAAGCTGACGCACACACCAGGCAAATGAATTGTTCAGTGCTGGCGCTCCCAGCCCTTTGCTCCAGCTTATGCGTTGGCAGAAAATGGCATGGGCAAAATATGTCTCATGGAGCCACTGGATCCAGGCCAGAAAACTGGAGGGTTTTGCCTGTGCTTGCACCCATACCTGCCCCAGGGCTGGGCAGTGAGGAGCTGTGCTGGGGTGAGGCAGCTTTCATCTGTGCCTACATCACTGCCACTTTTCCCCACCCCCTCCACCTCCAGCTGTGCCACAGGATCAGCTCCCAGCCAGTGGGGAGCTGTGTCCTAGCTGCAACAGGGAGGTAAGAGGGTTGGAGGAAATCAGGGAAAAGCAGCAGCAGCATAGACACAGTTTGCAGCTACATGGCTTTGGCACAGCTCCCCACTAGCTGGAAGCTGCACCCATGCAGCAGCCAGGAAGCATGAAGCTCAGAGAAGCAGCAATGGCACAGATGCAGCTCCCAGCTGCCTGGCCCTGGTGTGGGAACAGGGAAAGCCCCTGATGCTGACATGCTACTAAAGGCACCTGGCACCCAGCCCATGGCTTGTAAAAAGTTGCCAGCTACTGCTTTAACTGGTTGAGGTACAGTAGTTTTCTTATATAATGGATATTTAGAGATAACTCTCTATTATAGCACCATCTTTAAATAGGGAACAGCTCCTTGAATAGGCTGCTTGGGGTCTTTGTAAGGAAACCATTCCTGAGACTCATCTCATCAGCCTTATTCTACTTTTTGCTGTAAAAAGAGGGCCTGGGATAGAGCACTAATTATTACAGCTAACCAGTGGCTCTGGCTAATTGTCCTGTGAACTTTCCAATGGTAAAATAATGGTGGAAAACAGAAAGTATAGGAAAGTAGGGGGGAAACTCGTAGTCCGTATGATTTTCTAACTGAAAAATGGTACAAAGGAGGTACAATCAGAAATTGTGAGAGAGTCATTTCCCCCCACAGCTTCTTGCTTTTTACAATATTTCTGTAGGGGGGAAATTAAAAAAAAAAAGAAATTTCGTGATGCAGAAATATTCAAATAGGATTTTTTTCTGCCAAAATTACTGCAAGAATACTCTGTCTCAGTTGACAGAGTATCTAGTCACAGCATAACAGATCACTTCTGACTACCCTGCCCAACATTACACTTTTCCTATGTTCATCTCTCTTCTTCCTTCCTAGAAAACGCAGGGATTTTTGGTGGTGCTTTCGGTGATTCAAAGAGAATAGTAAACACCATTCGGAAATTTTTCCCTGAGACCTGGATTTGGAAGCTAGTTCCCACTAAGTGAGTACTCTTGCCATTCTTTCCTTTTCTTCTCTACAATCTGAGGTCTTCATTATTGTCCGCCCAGGACTAAAGTGAAGGTTATAAGAAAAGCTGTAGAACATGTAGCACTTTCATGCACCTCTGTCTTTTTACCCTTGTATTCCTCCTCACTGCTCAAATGTAGGTAAGATCCCATGCTTTAACCAGCTCCAGACCCTAATAGGTGGTATTTTATGTCCATTAAAGTGTTGCATGGCCCCTGTTTTAAAGAACAGTGTGAGCCCCTTCCTGCTTAAATACAGGATGCAAAATACAAGAACAAAAAATGTAGCAAAAGTTTCTGATTAGAAAACCAAAAAAAAAAAGAAAAGAAGAAGAAGAAAGAAAAAAAGCCAGAAGCCTCCTTTTAATTTTCAATAGCCAGAAAGTAAATAGCATCTAACCATAAAAACAGGGAGCCCTCAAAGAGATTCCAATCTTAGCTCTGAAGCTGCATGATTTTGGAATGTTAACATGAATGGATGGTATCTGAATAGCAGGTTTGTTTTTTTGTTTTTATTTCTTCCACAAACAGCATTCTTAAGAGCTCCTTTTAAACAAACTCAGAATGTCTTCTAATTTAAAAAAAAAATCCCAGGCACCAACATCCTTGCAACATTCTTTCACACTCTGGGAACCAGGATAAAACTATGCAAGTAAATGCAACTTAGTCTTTACTTGCAGCTCAGTAACATTTTCTTAATAGGGAGGGCTAGCCCAGGGAAACTAAGGCCTTGTACAGACATTCAGTTTTTCCTGGACAGTCTCTGTTCCAGGCCACTCTCCTTTTGCAATCCCCACATTGTGCTATAGGGAAACACATGCTGCCCATGGGCAGTCTGGGATAACTAATCAGGATTGCTGTGTGCATTTCTGCAATCTGTCACCTGGCAGACCAGGAAAGTCTTCAGAGTATGCGGGAATGTGTGCAAACCACCCCTGCCCCAGCCCAGCGTTTCTCAACCTGTGGGTGACGACCCAAAAGTGGGTCACAAGAATCTATGGAAGGGTTGTGAGCAAACTTTTAAAATGGATTCTCCTTTAAATGAGAAAATGTGGGAAACCATAGGTCTTCCTTTGCAGGGTAGCAGAGTTCCAGCCTGCAAGGGGTGACTTGGGACCCCCACAACCCACCCATCCACCTCCTCCCTCATGCACTGGGGTGGTGGGACCTGGGGATGTGGGGCAGTGGGTCAAGAGTGAGGGGCACTGGGTTGGGACCAGCCATTGATGCTTAGAAATGGGTCCTAGTTCAAAAAAGGTTGAGACCCACTGCTCTAGCCCACCTCCAGCCACAGTGTCAGTACTGCAAGCTCTCCACAATTTGGGGCCTCAGCACTCAAATGCTTGTATACGCGCCTCTGGGTAAATTTCTCTACTCAAAGAACAAACCTGGGAGAATTCTCCCAGATTATTTGAATATATGTACATAGTTGGAAAGGAGACTATAGTGCCAGCTTGGGAGTCTCTTCTGTAGACATGCTAGATAATGTTCTCTGAACAGTCACAGTCTATTCTCCTCCCTCTCATCTCTCGCTCTCTTATCCCTCAGCTCTGCTGGAAAGGCTGACATCTCTCTCGTCATCCCTGACACCATCACAGAATGGAAAGCCAGCGCCTTCTGCATGCAGGATGATGTTGGGTTTGGCATATCCCCAACTGTTTCTCTGACAGCTTTCCAGCCCTTCTTTGTTGATCCCACTCTGCCCTACTCCATTGTCCGAGGAGAAAAGTTTAATTTAATAGCCAATGTCTTCAACTACATGGACAGATGCAGCCTGGTACGTAATGTCCTTCCTTCCTTGTTTTCTTCACTCTGATTCCAGAGTGATTCCAGCTGGAGCTTGCACCGATCAGCTGGGGAACTCATAGAGGTCACTATGCATGCGGTGCTCAGGCAGGATGTGCTGAAAAAGCAGTGAGCTCAGAGCTTGCTGTATATGTGCGGCAGAGTCAAAGGGCAACGTGGCTTCACCCTACTCCTGGATCTGCTGCTGGCCTTATGGTATCATCAGCATACATCCACCAGAATCAGAGAGAATAAAACAACAGCTTCTTATCAGCTTATCAGCAACCTCTTAGGAACAGCCTCCTCATGATTTTATTTTTGTCTCTTTCTCTCAGATCAGTGCTGTATTAGCCAAGTCAGATGATTACAAGGCAGAGGTCCTCACCCCAGAGAACAATGTTGTGAAGTTGTGTGCAAATGAGAGGAAAACCTACATCTGGGCTGTGAGCCCACACAAACTAGGTAAGCTTCTCTGGCTGGCCCTTTTTCATGGCATATCACTATTTTCTTTTTAATGGTTATTACTCTGCAATTCTGTCACACAATTAAGCATTGACAGACTTTACAGAGTCAGCCTTGGGGAACTCTGTTGTTTGTGGCTATTAAGTAGACCCTAGTGTTCTGTCTGTTTGCTGCTTCTGGGAGTTAATTTCTGTCTGTCTTGAAATGAATCATTCAGCTCACCCATTTGATGTAAAACATTTTCAGACTTTTTTTCCCGTGAGATCTTTCTGTGCCCAGATGCCAAATCTGCCCAGCCTTGGAGCTTTTCTCACTCTACAATATTCTGTTCATCCTCCTAAAACCCTTCCCATTTCACGCTTCAATCACCAGTATCTGGATAGTGATAATGCTATGTATTAAAAATCACGATGAAAAATACTGAAGTATGCTGTTTGCCCTGAGCCCAGTTCTCAACTGGTATAAACTGAGATAGCTTCGTTGATTTCAGTGCATTTGTATTTGTTTAAAACAGCTGGGGATTCAGACCTAAATTTTCAATATTTTAAAAAGGCAGAGAGAGGTAGTTAGCCATGTTGGTCTGAAGTCAGGTAGAAGGCAGAGCAGAGTTGCTCTTTATGCAGAGATGCATAAGCTTTCATAAGCAGCATCTCTCTTGATCAGATGCTCTGAAAAGCCATAGCATCTGGCAAAGTAAGCTGCTGCTCATGAAAGCTTATCTATCTCTTCATTAGTCTATAAAGTACAACTCTGCCCTGTCTTTTTTAAGAAGCAGCAGAGATAATTTGGTGATTTGTCAGGACAGAAAATTGGAAGTAACAAGAAAAGTACATTTATTTTTTCCTTAATTTTCAAAGGGCCTGCTCAAAATTAACTTTTTTCATCCAAATTTCCTAAAATTATGATTTTTTGAAGAAAAGAAATTCAGCAGTTTAATCAATTTATGTTAAATGTTCCCTTAAAAATAATAAAATCTTCCATTCTATGAATTCTTGAGAGTAATCCATGAAAATTTGAAACTATTTGGAGAATTATTGGAGGGTGAAAACTACATGGAATAACAGAAGATGGCTTTTGCTGCAGGTTAATTATGGAAAAACTGCTCCTTCTGCACAGTAACTTAATTCTTTTGAGGATAATTTTCTCCTGCACAAGAAGTACTATTTGAGGGTACCACTGTGCAGATACCTGCAGATGATTAAGTGAACAATTTCAACAAATGAAGACATACTTCTAGTTATTTTCAAACAAGGATATTCTGTCTGAGACGAGACATATTTTAAAAAATAAAAGAAAGACAGATCTTATAGGATCCATTCAGGTTAACCTGCTTTGAAAGGAAGCAAATTTCCCAGAGGACTCTCAGGTCACCCTAGAAGCATGAAGCGAAACCGGTGGCTGTTGTAGATATTTGGGATATATTTTATTTCATGGGCTTGTGGTCTGGCTCTTTCAGGTGAAGTGAACTTCACAATTACTGCTGAGACGCAATCAAGTGACAAAACCGTTGGGAATGGTACTTCAGCAAAGGAGATAGTATGGAAGGACACGATCATCCAAAAGCTGTTAGTCGAGGTATGGTAGGACATTCCAACTCCCCCTGGTACTTTCTTCTCTCTTGGTTTTATTTGGCTCATTCTCTCTAAAACATCCTAACACTAACTCTCAGTCTGAAACAAGCTATAGAGATTTCACCCCTTGTCCTGGTCTAGGGTATAAGAAAAGTTAGTTGGTGGGGCATGGATGATCTATTTCTGAGTGACCCCAAGAATCCTACCAACCAATTTTCCTGAGAGAACGATGAGATGTGTTAACTGTGGAGGAGTAAGTGAAAGTGCCTGCTAAACACAGAGCTCAGTCCACTTTCTCCAAACAAGTTTCTACACACTGTAACCTCGCGCCCCATAGTTGAATTCTGCTGTCCCTTATATGATGAGACTAACTTTGATCAGATTCTGCTTTCAGTTAAGCCTTAACCCCATGCAGCTATAATGAAGCCACTGTATTCCATCAGGACAGATGGGACAATGGGCCTTTAGCACCCACAGCACAAGCCATCCCACTTTAACTGAAGAGGCAGCTCCTTTTAACTGTGGATGATGATTAGCCATCCTTTTAACTGATGGCTGTCATTAGTTCTGTCTTCTACTCTACGGCGCTGTGGCCACAGACATTCAGATGTCTGTGCAGTGGCCTCAGATGGGTTTTTCCATATGTAGCAGAGGTTGAATTGACAGTCATCTGTGACATCTGGCAGGCATCTTAGGAACCCTTCCTTTGTGGGGTCAGAATTTACTTTTACCTTCTGGGTGCAGAGGGAAAGAGATGAACCCTAGTGTTGGGGAGAGCTCTGACAAGTATTTTTTTGTGCCTTTGGTCTGTTTCTACCATGATGCTGCCGGGATGAAAGCATGATTTGGCCTTTGTTGTATAGGCAGCTATGTCACAGGACAAGATAGAGAGAAGTCATTTCTATTTCTTCTGGAAACTACCTCCTTCCTCCCCACTAAGTCGAACTGGGTGTAGGTCTCTCCAGATGGGAGCACCTTCTGTCCCCTTCACGCAAAGCAGTACCAGTGGTGTAAGGACCCAGGGGCTGAATCTGGCACACTGAGCCATGTCATTTGGCCGGGGTTGGGCTGATGCACAGAGTTGCTCCATGGCCACATTAAGTGTGTGGGCTTAGCTGATGCAGGGCATCACACCCTGTGAACCAATCCCACAATAAAGATCCGACCCATGGAACGGTCCCACATCACTCATCCAGCCTAAGGGGCCAGATAGGTTTATGAGCATCACTAATCTACACAGAGCAAAAGGTGCAGTCTGTAAGACAGGGAGTGACCTCGTGAAATGGCAGGGAAGTCACTTTGTGAACTCAGAAGTGGCAGGCTGGATGTGTAACAGATGCATAACCCTATGGTGCCCCACTTGGCACAAACATGTTTTATGATATCATTTTTGTCCCTGGTTTCATTTTTGTGTTCTGTCTCTCTCCTCTTCCTGTCTCTCCATTTTTCCACACTAACCAGCCTGAAGGCATCAAAAAGGAGGTGACCCAGAGTGACCTCATGTGTACAAAAGGTAAGGGCATCTTTGCAAATTCCCTCCTGCTATGCAGCCAAGGTTATAAATGCATCAGAGACTGACTGGAGAGTGGCTTTTAGATTCAAACATTTCCAAGTCAGCCTCCCTCCCTCCCTGCCTCCATACTAATACCTTCATTCTTTGAAATCAAAGGTTTCAGCAGCATTACCTATTTCAGCCGTAAGGCTATGAGTTTGTTTTTCACGTACCTCTCTTTCTTGGGCAATAGAAGTAGCTCACTCCATTTCAGTGTCATTGCTCTCAGCTGCCAGTGCAGTTCTGCAGTGTTTAGGTAATGGCTATTGGATGTGGGCACACAGAATGGAAACAGCTCAGCTGTGTGTCATAGATACTATTCTCCACATGGACAGGTCAAAAGTATTCTTCACACAGGCGAGGAAATAGATTTCTCAGTTCTGTCACTGGCTCCCTGGGCAAGTGACTTCACCTCTCTTCATAACAAGTTTATTCATGTAGACTGAAGGAAGGAATAGCGGCCCAGTTCACTTGGATGATATGATGCTTAGAGTGTATTGTCTGTTGGGAAAAGATATTGTGAAAGGGAAAGGGATTGTTTTTTCTCTATTAGCATTATATTTTATCAACAGGCCAAGCAAACTCTGGAGTAATATCCCTGAAGCTGCCAGCAAACGTAGTGGAGGGATCAGCCAGAGCATATTTTTCTGTCATTGGTAAGTTTAATATTTATATAAAAAATAAAGGACCTGATTCTTCCCTGTCCTGCCCTTGGTGTTGCCATTTCACTGGTACCAAAGAGTGCTGTATTTTAAATTGCATATCTGAACTGCACTGACTCTGTCTCCTGTTCCTCAGGGGATCTCTTGGGCTCTACCTTACGGAACATGGAGAATCTCCTCCACATGCCCTATGGCTGCGCAGAGCAGAATATGGCTCGTTTCACACCCAATATCTACATCCTGGACTATCTGAACAAGACAGGGCAGCTGACTAACGAGATCAGAGTCAAGGGCGTTACATACTTAGCTAGCGGTAAGAAGATTTTTGATTCCTCCACCTCAGCTTGCTTTCTTGCACTGAAATACCATCATAATACCGGTACTATGCAATAGTTACTAATGAGCTAGAGGAGCACACAAACAATTAGAATGAAACCAGTCACCAACATTGTTTTTGTTCTCAAATGCAACAGGGTACAGCTTCAATTGGAAACAGAGAAACAGGCCCATTATTGTTGGAAAATATGTCTTCTTTGATGTGTTTTCAGGATATCAGAAGCAGTTGTCCTACCAACATGAAGATGGATCATACAGTGCCTTTGGGGACAGAGATGAGCAAGGGAATGTATGGTGAGAGCTGGGAATCTCTTTGGGGTCCCTTGTGCTGAGAGAAGTTGTTTTTGATAGGGGAGTACCTCCAGAATCTGATTCTGTAGTCAAGGAGAGAGGTGTAAGCAGGAAGACTGGCCAGATCAGTGGGGCTGAAGCTTTTTACCACTGGGGTACTGGTTACAATCTGAGCACTGGACAGAGGTTAGAGGAGGAGGGATGGATAGTCCATCAGGATTGGGGAATGGGAGATGTAGCTTTTCATTCCTAGTGCACTCATTCCATTTCGGCCCCAGGTTATGTGGACAGATGGCTCAAGGGGACAGGCAAACTGTATGAAGGCACTTGATACATTGTGGCTATAATTAGAGTTGCCCTGGTCTTACTGATGTGTTTGGGGAGCAGGGTTCGTCAGCTAGCACTGCTCACCCATGGAGCATCTCAAGGTAAACCGTGGTGCAGAGATTTATATGAGATCAGATCAGAGTTGTGACGGGCCTCCTCTCCCCGCCCCACCCCCGGTCACAAAGTGGAAGGGGGAAAGAAAGCTGCCAGGTGACCACAAGACAGTCTCTTCTGCAACTCTTCCTCACTTCAGTCTATGTGGTTCCCCTGTAGGCTGACAGCCTTTGTGTACAAGTCCTTCGCTGAAGCCACGCGCTACATCTACATTGACAGCAATGTGCAGCAGAGGACCCTGACCTGGCTGGCAAGTAAACAGAACCCAGATGGTTGCTTCCCAAAGGATGGGAACCATTTCAACAATGCTTTGAAGGTGACTGATCTCAGCTTATTCCTAAATTCCAGTCCCACCCATCATTAGGATAGAACTGTGAAACAGTCTGACACTGTCCTGCTGCCCAGATGTTCAAACCTGCCCTGCGTCTCTAGCATTGTTTTCTAATGGCCCTCCCACAGGCAAGGTATGACCCTTACAACTTCCAGCAGGTAGTGTCATAGAAGCAGCATGGATTTTTTAGATGAAAGTCCTTAGTTTTATTCCCCAGAGCTATATATATATATATATATATATATAGATATGGAAGTTTTATAATATAATATAAATATGCATATATGTGATATATATGCATTTAACTGGGAACCACAGGCCATATTCACCTGTGTTTTACAAGTATAAACTCCCAGTAAACCCACCAGTCATTTGTGCTCATATTACAGTAAGTAAAGTCAAATTTAACATATTCAGTTTATGTATGCACACACAGCATGTAAGTTCCCTTGAATGGAAATACTTACCTTTTGAGTACTGGCCTTCCAGGTGCCAAGATGCAGGTACATGATACCTGAAAGCTTAACTGAAACAAGCCTATTGACCTATTTTTCCTTTCTTTCCTGCTCAGGGTGGAGACAGTGGACTTTCACTCACAGCCTATGTCATTGCAGCTTTTCTTGCAGCTGGACACTCCACCTCGGTATGAAGTAAACACTTTCCTGCCTTCTTAGACTGGCCAGTCTAAGGTCACAAGCAGCAGAAAAGTGATCAGCTGTGCAGCGTTCCTTTGCTTCAGCTATGTCTTAAATGCTGGCTCTGAATCATTGTGTTTCTATAAGGACAAACCAAAAGTTCTGTACCAGAGTTGTTGCATGTAGATGGGCTCAGTAGTGCAATAGGCACCTGACATATGATGGGGATTAGTCATGTGTCTTGCCTTCAGTTTAACTGTAGGTATAGCCTGATTTATCACTAGAACTCCTTACTACGAATAAGAAATCCGTTGCTTTAGAAAATAATGTTTTTGATCAAATTCAATCCAGATTCAATTTGTTCAGCATGCAGTAGATTTCCTAGCCTTTAGCCTGGAAAATTCACTCTGGGACCTTGGAGTTGAATTGTGTTTTCATTTTCCCACATGCTTGTTAGCAACAGAAAGGAAGGATGCAGGGTGGTACCTGGAATGGGGGGACCTGAATGCAATTCCCCTCTGCTATTGCTAGTTTCCGAGTGGTCAGGGGCCATGCACTGCACCTATGTGAGCAGCAGGTTCCTGATGCCACATACCGTGCTGGCCCCCTTCTGTTCCTTCAGTGCCTCCTCTTCCCAGTTAGCTGTGCTGTGCAGGCTCCCTCCACTCCCCCTCTGCACCCTGCCTTGTCAAACTACATGGGGAACCCCCACTACCATGCAGGGACCCTGAGCTGCTCTGAGCTGTAGGCTGCCTGTGATCCACGGGTCACAAAGGGCTATAGCACCTTACCCTGCCCCCAGAGCAGTGGAAGGAAATTAAAGCTAGAGCAGGAAGATGGGGAGAGGGGAGCTGAGATCCCAGGGGGAACAGCAGCTGGGGTGGTGGCAGGAGTAGTGACTAGGCAAGTGTTTGGAGTTCACCACTTAATCTTTCACAAGCAATGTAAGGCCTGTGAGCTGCAAGTTGGACAGCACTGTTATAGAGGACCAGGTGCTCAGGTAGGATGGGTCTCAGTACCAAAAAAGTATCCAAGACAGATATTAAAAAAACATTCCATAGGATCAAATTCTGCCTCAATTATACAGGTGCAACACCATTATTTGCACATCAGAATTCCAAGTTGGGTGGCCCAGATGTAACTGACATGGTGAGGAGACAACATGGTAACTTTTCTTGGTGATGTATAAGCCAGAATAGAGGTGCATTCACCCAAAGCTGAATAATCACTCTTCTTCTAGGCTGAAGAGAGTGATTATTTCTCTTTGCTTACGTCAGATAGCAATGGCAATAATAGCAATGCCTCTTTTATACAGCACTTTTCATTCAGTGCCTTTGGAAATGAACCAGCCATGCTGTCAGCGTGAGATTCCAGTAGTGCCAGTTCAAAGAATAGCCAAAATCTTTTAGGGTAGGTGTGGCCAATCTGTGGCATGAGTGCCTCAAGTGCCACAGGCAGCCTCTTTGTGTGGCACATGGCAGATCAGGGATGAGACGGGCAGCACAGCAGCAGATGGGGCAGAAAGCAGAAAACAAAGCAACAAATCAGGCAGGGAGCACAGGGCTGAGAGCAAAAAGCAAAGCAGCAGATCAGACAGGGAAGAGGGAATGGAATGGCACTTGAGGAGGGTATGGGATTAATTTGTGGCACACTCCAACAAGGTTGTCTCTTCCCCCCCACCGTTATAGGGAAAGCAAACATGCTATATTGTACACCACAGACCCTAAACTGTGTTTTCATTTCCAGCACACGGTGGTTCAGAATGGCCTGAAGTGTCTGGAGGCTGTTGATAGCAATGGAGTCACCAATTTGTATGGCCAGGCCCTCCTAGCCTACACTTATGGCTTAGCAAGCAATAAAGCAAAACACAGATTCTTCTTGGAGAAGTTGGACAAATCAGCTACCAAACGTGGTAAGGGTCATTTGGAAGTCTTCCATGGCAGGCATTTAAAGTAGTTTGGGTGAATAGTCTGTGGCATCAAAAAAATACTCTTGGGGGGGTGAGCACGCTAGCAGGGAGAGAGAGATTGCAGAAGGATCTGGATAGGTTACAGGGGTGGTCAAACAGGAACAGGATGTGTTTCAATACGGACAAGTGCAGGGTGCTGCACTTGGGTAGTAGGAACCAGCAGCACACTTATACGATGGGGAACTCCCTACTTGAGAGCACGGAGGCGGAAAGGGATCTTGGTGTCATTATTGACTCCAAGATGAACATGGGCCGACAATGCGAGGTCATGGTTGGCAGGGCTAACCGGACCTTGTCGTGCATCCACAGGTGCATCTTGAGTAGAGCCAGGGAGGTGATCCTCCCCCTCTATGCGACGCTGGTCAGGCCGCAGCTGGAGTATTGTGTCCAGTTCTGTGCGCCCCATTTCAGGAGGGATGTGGACAACATGGAGAGGGTCCAGAGGAGGGCCACCCGCATGATCCGGGGACAACAGGGCAGACCCTACAGTGAGAGACTGCGGGACCTGAACCTATTCAGCCTCCACAAGAGAAGGCTGAGGGGGGACCTGGTGACCGTCTATAAACTCACTAGGGGGAACCAGAAGGGTTTGGGGGAGACGCTGTTTCCCCTAGTCCCCGCTGGCATAACAAGGAGTAATGGGCACAAGTTGATGGAGAGGAGGTACAGATTGGACATCCGAAAAAACTACTTCACAGTTAGGGCGGCTAGGAGCTGGAACCAACTTCCAAGGGAGGTGGTGCTGGCCCCTACCCTGGGGGTCTTTAAGAAGAGGCTGGATACCTACCTGGCTGGACTCATTTGAGTCCCGTTTTTTGTTTTTAGGGTTCTTTTGTTGTTCTCCCGCCCTGGCAGGGGGTCGGGCTAGAAGATCTATTAGGTCCCTTCCGACCCTAAAACTATGAAACTATGAAACTATATCTGGCCACTACAATCTTCCCATTCCATATTAACCTTGGCTAGGCTTTCTCTAAAACCAATCATTGAATCTTTGAACTTCTTTCGACTTTGTGCCCTAAGCCAAAGGGAAAACCAAAGCCTAGTGTTCTCACAGCCTCAATTTCCTTTCTTTTGATTGACTTCTGTTTGCATTTCCCCCATCTATAGCTTTGGGAGCACATATTAATGCTTGTCGCACCAGAGTTTATTGCTCCCGGGCACTGTGTTTACATGTGCACCCGGGACCGTAGCACATTGAACAAGGTTAGAGCAGCCCTGCTGGCATGGAATACAGGGGGCCAGCCTGTCAGCCTGAGGCTGCTTTGCCTCAGCTTAACATGCTGCAGAGAGTCTGGCTGGGGCACAAGGGTCCCCGCACTGTAACACTCTTGTGCCTCACCCAGCCACATCAACATCTACACATGCATTACTGCAGAGTAAAAAACTCTGCAGCAGAATAGTACTTGTATTTATAAGTACTATCCTGCTGTGTAGTTTATTAGTTTCCTGAGGCCTAATAGGGCTGTACGTGTAGATGCCAAGACTTTTACTGTGGAGCTAAACAGGCAATTCCTCAGTAAATGTCTCGTGTAGACACACCCTGTCTTGCTGAAGGAAAATCCTGATCCCTTCTCATTCAGAAATGAGCCCAGAAGTTCCCAAACTGGCTAGTCCCAGGCAAAAGACGAGTGGTAGCCAGTGGACTGTACTACCCCACATGACAAAATAGTAAGGTAATCACTAGTTCATTCTTTAGGCTCCTCACCATCCCTATTCTGTTCCCAGATGGCTCAGTTTATTGGGAGCTGGAAAAGAAGCCACCAACAGGCAACTTCCCCTTCTACTTGCGTGCCTCTTCTGCCGAGGTTGAACTGACCAGCTATGTGCTGCTGGCACTGCTCAACCAATCCAATGTGACTCCAAAGGACTTGTCATACATGTCTCAGATTGTGCAGTGGGTTGTCAAACAACAGAATCCATATGGGGGCTTCTCCTCCTCCCAGGTGACTTTTCCCTCATGTTAGAAGGAACAGACCCTGAAAAGAGTCTTCCAGCTGGATCCCTCTCCTATATATTATGGGTATTTCTGCTGGGTATTTCTGATGAGAAGAGTAAGACCCTGGAACTCACTTCCTCCTTGTGTCAAAAATAGCCTAAATCTGGTGACCTAAAATAATATACTTGACAGGGTACTGGAGAGGTTAAAGGGTATGTTTTTAGAGATGACAGGGTTGGGTAGCTCTTTAATACACTGAGTCATCAGTTGGCTGAACCGAGTTACTATTACCTCTTTGAATATTTGCTTTTAATGCTGCTGGGTATATATGGGTGCTCTTGTACTTGTCTTTAATTGTCAAGACATGTCAGACTCTTATGCATAGAAGTCTTTTTTGCGTTCTTTAAATCTGATTAAATAATATTTGGCCCACATTCACACAATAGTGGCAGACAATAGTAGTAGGTGTCCTGAGATAATTCAAGCCATAAAGCCCCCCTTTTCTTTCTGTCTTAACTGGGGGAGATAATAGTGTCCTTGGAGTGTATATGAGCTGTGTTAATCTCATGCATCATATCCCAGCTGAGTCTGTTTCTGATCATGTTGTACTTTTCAGGACACTGTTGTTGCTATCCAAGCTCTAGCCAAGTATGCGCATCTCACCTTCTCCAAGGATGGTCAAAACACAGTTGAGATCAAGTCCAAGAATCTTTCAAACAAGGTCTTCCAGGTGAACAATAAAAACCGCTTCCTGCTGCAGCAGACTTCCCTGCCCAGTGTCCCAGGGGAGTACAGGGTGGAAGTGAATGGCAACGGCTGTGTCTACATGCAGGTAAACTAGTGCCCAGCACCCTGATCCTCAGCACCTTCAGCTGATAGCTCAGCAGAACTCCCTTCTTTTGCTGCCTGACACATTTTATCTCTTCTAGACAACACTAAGGTACAACATCCACCTGTCTGGGGAGGACTCTGGGTTTTCTCTCTCTGCACAGCCGACAAATGCTTCCTGCACAAGCAACTTCCCACCGAAGTTTGACCTTGTCATCTCGACCAGGTAACCTCCCTCATCATCCCAGCTGCTGGGGTAAAGTGTCAGGAAAGGGAGTTAAGAAAAACCAGTTAGTGCGTTACTGGTTTGTAGTTGCAGTAAGACAAGTGGGACTGTTGCTGATCTGACCATCCTCCAATATAGCTGAATGGGGAGATTTCACATGTTGAAAGGGTCATTGTGTTTCTACCTCATGAGCCAAACTAATGGGGTATCTCTCATTTCAGTTATGCTGGGAAGCGGAGTGAGTCCAACATGGCCATTATTGATGTGAAGATGCTCTCGGGCTTTGTACCTGTTAAATCATCCCTGCAGGAGGTAAATGATGGGAGCATGGGGTGAATAGGAGCAAAATTGGTTATGGCAGTGGCGCTCAACCTTTTTTGTACCAGGACCCATTTGTAAACATCAATAACCATCCTGACCCAGTGTCCCTCACTCCCGACCGACTGCCCCCAGGCCCCAGCTCCCCAGTGTGTGGGGCAGGAGGGGTGTATGTGGGGCATGGGGACCCCAAAGCAGCCCTTCACAGGCAGGAACTCTGCTAGCCTGCAAGGGAAAAGCCACAGTTTCCCACATTTTTCTCCTTTAAAGGAAAATCCATTTTTAAAGTTTGTTTCTGATCCTTTCATATATTCTTGTGACCCACTTTTGGGTCACAACCCACAGGTTGAGAAACACTGGGTTACGGGATACTATAGCTTGGGCTGGAGAAGAAAAGGGGTCCTGTTAGCAAGCTGAGGAGCTGAACCAGGTGGTGAATTCAGTTTTAAGCAGCTGGCCATATGACCATCCACTGCATTATCTGTTGGTAGCTGTTCATTGGATGAAGTAAGGCATGGACAATTATGGCTCCAATCTTAGGCACCATGTCTCATGTCTATTTTCCTGCATCTCTGCCTGGATATTGTTTCAGTAGACAATGCCCTTATGTATGCAAAACAGTTTCAGTGAAACGTGATATTTGCACCACTTAACAATGCCAACATTGCATGGCACACAGTGGCACCCTTAAAGGGATATTACAGCACCCCAGAGTGCCATACCTCCCTGCTTGAGGATCACTGGTCTGGAGCCCTGTGAAATCTCTACCTTTTTAAATCAGACTGTTGCACAGAAACTTTTTAAACTATTCTGCATCCTACCCATTTTTCTTATCATTTCAGTTAGAAAAGGGGTATACTTTTACACTGAAAACTTGTATTTGTACATGTTTTGATTGTACAGCTATTTGCCCCCAAACAGTTACCTATTTTTGAAAAAAAAGAATACATTCCACAGGAGACTAGGTCAGGCTGAACTGAGGAAAAACTGGTAATTTAGTTAGTATTTTCTGCCAGTGTGGACCTTATTTTAAGTTCAGAATGAAATGCAGAAAATTGTGAATTTTGCACTGTTCTGTGTTTCATTGGATCTAGACCATCACATTTCTCAACCTTTTGTATTACTTGTCTTAGCCATGAGATGTCACTGTGGCCCTATAAGAATGTGCCTACTACAAGGAACCATTTAGTATAGGTTTGGGAATTTCTCTTCTGTTTAAAATCAGTATGATTTTCCTTGTTTAAAGCTTCAGAACAGTCGTGTGGTGATGCATGTGGAGACCAAGAACGACCACGTCCTCTGCTACTTGGAGAAGGTAAGCTTGGAGAAAGATGTGCCATGCCGTTCATCTCCGGTGTTTGTTAAATTTGGAAATAAAGCAGACTCCCAAATAAAAGAACGAACTCGCTGTGAGCTGATCAGCAACACACCAATCTTCATCATTCCTTACCGAGAGGCTTAAAGGTGTTGTTGCCACCCTATAATTGGTAAGGCAGGCTGCTTCAGTGACATGGTCGAAGCCCAGGAATCTAGGCAGACCGCTAGGTTATCCCTATTCTGTTGTGATCTGGGGAAACTGAAATAAGTACAGTGTAGTGCAGGTGAATAGGAATACAGTCACCATGACGTGTCCTTGTGGCAGGGCACTGTGTGTGCCGGCCACCTTAAGGGCCTGGAGCTGGCAGCCGCCAGGTGCCTGATGAGGGCCGCCATTTTGGATCTGGGGCTGCCCATATAAACAGGGCAGTTCTGCTGTGAGAGGCCAGGCAATGACACCGCCCGGCCGGAGGGCTGCAGATCTCAATCTGGAGGTAAGGGAGGAGCTGTAGGGGATGGTCAGGAGGCTCCTGGTCCTGGGTACGACCTAAAACTGTACCCTGCCAGGAGTGGGTGGCCTGGTGGGGCTCCCAGTGGTGCGGGAGCCCCCAGGAAATGCCAGGCCAGTGACCACCCCGGTGAAAGGCGGGTCGGGGTGCCTTAACCCCTAGCCCCCACCACCGGGTGGGTTACCCCTTTGTTGGAGGACCCAGAGGGTGGACCCCTTTGTTAGAGGGCGTCAGAGAGTGAGATAAGGGCCATAGACTCAGGCCTGTCTGAACTCCCCCTGACTGGTCCATGCTGGGGCCAGGGCCGGAAGGGCCGGGGGCCCACCGCAAGGAACGCCCAAGAGCTGAGGGCCTGGGGTCCCGACTAGCCTGGAGGTGGGCCAGGGCTATTAGCCGAAGGTCCTGGTGGGGGGATCACACCTGAAGGGGGATCAGTTCAGGGAGCTATGGTGCCCGGTGCGATGGCAGAAGAGTCCACCTGAGGGGAGGAATCCAGGTGGAGTTCAATAGTAGGGTTCTGGGGCCCAGTGTGGGGGCCGGTGGTAGTGAGACCATCGTGATGCCATCTGCAAGGCGTGGGCTGTGGTGAAGGGGAGGCATGGAGCCACAGATAGCGCCCCCTGGAATCAAGGCAGGAAATGGGCAGCCTCCCGCTTTATTAACATCCACTTATTAATTATGCCAACAAGGCGTGGCGGGTGAGATGCAGGCAGTTAGCCCAGAAACAGGTGGGCGGGTCACGGCGAGATTGGCCCCAAACAGGCCCCCTGTTACAGTCCTGGAAAGAGAGAGTTGTGAATTCATTATTAATCTTTACCAGAGAACTACACGCTTACACAGCATTTTGCAAATATAGATAAACCTCACTCCCTGCCCCAGAGATTATAATCTAAATATGTTGGCTGCTGCTACTACTACTGATAATTAGAATGAGATCTACTGTATTTACCAGAATCCAAGATGACATTGAATTTAAGACAAACCCCCAATAATTAGAGTCTAGACATAGAACATTTATCAAATTGTTATGATATTCCATGTGTAGAATCTAATTATCAGGGGGTCATCTTAAATTCATCCCCTCCCTCCACTGCAGCAGGGCAAACAGGGGAAGGTGGTGGGAGGAACAGGTAGCAGAGGAGTCGAGTGGCATGACCCCTGCCCCTTGCTAGCTATTCTCTGCACTACTTGTACCCCAGCTGCCTGCTTCCTCGCCAACCTGGTGACTGTGCACCTCATGCTTGCCCCTCCTGCAGTGTCACCTGCTTCCCCTGCACTTGCTACCACCCCACACCTCCTGACACTTGCCCCTCTCCATGATGCCTACACTGCCAGGCACCATGCCCCCTCTGACACTTGACCCCCTCGCCTTCCCCCGCCCTCTCATCTGCCCCTGTGCTGCCTTCCCACTGCTCTTTGCAACCATGCCACTTCCCTCCCATCCTGTTCTGCTGCCGCCTCCACTTACCTTGCTGTCACAGCTCCAGCTAGGACCCGGCTCCAGCCTGGGGCAAGGAGCAGAGAGCACAGGCTGCCTCTGCCCCCCCCCCTGGCCACACAGCTGCTGTTGTGGTGGCCGCAGCTCCAGCCCCACCCCTGGAGCTCAGACCAGAGCTTCCACCACCACTGAGTAGGTTGTGGAGGGGCAGAAGCAGCTTGTGCTCTGTGCTCTCTGCCTGAGGCTAGAGCTGCAACAGGAGGGCAAGTGGTAGTAGCAAATGTGGGAGGAGAGCAGAAGCAATGGGGAACAAAAGCTTGAGGAGCCGGGGCTGCAGGGAGCAGGTGGTAGAGGTGGGCAGCAGGTGAGACTCTGACCCCAGGCTTAGCATTGCAGCTACAGCCACAGCTGCAGCCATTACATCCCCCTACTTGCACTCAGATCTAAGATGAGAGCCCCCCCAAGTGTTGAGTGGGAGAAAACCCCTGTCTTGGATTTAAGTAAATGTGCTTAAGTCGCACTTTTCATCAAGAGATCTCCAGTTGCTTTACAGGTTCAGTGTCATTCACTGTTTTATATACAGGGATTTGATGCGCTGAGGATGGATATGATCCTATCCCAGATCTATTAGAGGAGCACCCTCCCCTCCTCCTCCCAGCATCACCTGCAACAAACTTTATTTTCTTTCTAAAATCAGCTTCTGGAAACTGGGATGCACAGTATAAGCAAGGAAATAGTTATAGCAGTTCCTGCAGCATAAGCCTTCTGGGAGGGAGCGGGGAGGAGGTAAAGGTCATACTACACTTGCTTCACAGGGAGCTATACAGTCAGCAGGCTGGGCTGCAGCTACTTGGTTACTTACTGGAACTTACAAGTGTTTTCAAGAACGGATCTTTTTTTCCTTTCATCCTGCCTTTCAACAGCAAGGTGTATATCTTATATGGTGACATGGTGTATGCAAGAAAATATGGTAATAAAGAACACAGGGAATGGGTTAACATTGGTTAAAATGTAATTGGTGTTAATATAGCAAGAGGAGGAAGGGGACAGGAGAAATGGTAATACATTGCATTTTATATAGTGCTTTTTAGCCTTATGCCTCAAAGTGCTTTACAGTGAAAAGCAAGATTTGTTAGGTAATATCTTCTACTGGACCAATTTCATTAGCTAAAAGAGCTGTTAGAACAGCTTTTGGGCACAGAGTGCACTTCCTCAGATCTGAGAGAGAAGCAGATACAGCCTAAGCACACCAAAATAGTTCGTCAGGGAACTGAGGAAAGAATTAGGGGGGAGGCCAAGGATCTTAAATCTAGTGGGGTGAGAAGAAGCCAATGGTGAGATGAAAGGAGTGTGCTGACCTGGTTAGAACCAGCCTGGGAAGAGCAAGATGACTGGCAGTGACTTCTTGGAGCTGCTGCAGGGGGAAGAAGGAGAAATGCAGAGGTTACAATAATCAAGACCTAGTCAAGGCCTTCAACAGGGCAAAAAGAATGGAATCTGGAGATGAGGAAAAAGCAACAGGACTTGGTTGTTTCACCACAAGATGTAGCTAGCAACTGATTTCTTTAGCTATTTAACTGGCTTATTAACAATCTTATCAGCCTAGGAGAATTGGAAAGTTGAAGAGTTGTAATGTGTATCTTTTACTGGTTTGGAAATGTGTTTGTGCTGCCTCATTCCGTGAAGTGCATATTATAAGAAACAAAGCGTGACATGTTTTTTCTGTCCTGCTCCCAGGTTACCCAGAAGGAAATCCGTTTCTCTTTCAGCATTGAACAAAGCCTTCCTATATCTAATATCCAGCCAGCTTCTGTGCAAATCTATGATTACTATGAAACAGGTAGGAGGCCTGGTTGGGCTGAATAAATACCCTTTGAATCAAACTACTAATCCCAGTCTTAGCTAGAGGGTGGGAGGTGGCTGATTAAATGTAAAATACGCATAATTGCCCTATCTAACGCAGGTTCCTCTTTACAGATCTGCTTTTGCTCAGTTTTTAGTTCTTAGCAGACATAGGTAAAAAGCACACGAGTATTGCAATTGCATGAACTGAAGGAGAGACACTGAGAGTTCCCCAACTTGTTCACTGCCTGATTAACACAAGCCAGGAGGGAAACTGATACCGCTATAATTACCTTCCCTACTAGTTGCTCCCCCTTTACCTTGTTCACTCATTGGCTTTTGCTCTCTTATCACAGGTCCAGCCTTAAAGCAAAAGTGAGTGAGCCACCAGGGTCAACACTTTTGTCTTGCCTTATCTGGCATGCCTTACCCATCCACCCTATTACTGCCATAGTAGTTAGGGACTAAGTAGCTTTGGTTGTAGCCTGTATCACAAAGTATCTGTGGCTTACATGATGCAAATGCACCATAAAGTTCCATGTTCTTTTCCAGATCCAGAATAAATACCATGAGCTCTCTCTTACCAGATAATTAGACATGTCCAGAGCCTGTGTGGAGAGGGACATTCAGTCTGCTCCCTATGAATGTGCATTCTGCTATCCAAACTGCATGTCAGAAACAATTTCCCTGCTCGCTGATTGTCCTCCCTTCTGTATATTGCCAGTACACTCATGGCAAACATTGGGCACTGAAGAGCCACAGACATTGGTGCCTTGACAACAGGGAAGACGATATAGCTACTTAGGAACCTGGCATGCATATTATCATGGGTGTGCATGCACTGGCAATGGAGTGATTCCTCACAGGAATATGAATGTTATCTTTCTTTTCTTTTTCAGATGCATCCAACGTTGCAGTCTACAATACACCCTGCAAACAAGCTTCCACTTGAAACTGGGGAGGAGGCAGGAAGAGGTAACGGAAAGCCAGAGACCCCAGCTAAGCTTGGGTAGGGAGAGAAAAGTTTTGCATGTTTGTGGAGAGGGCATATTAAATTGGAAAAATAGATAGGGGATGAGTAATTTTAGTCATTGTGTCAATCAGGATTGTCTATTCTTTGCCAATGCTTCAGAAAATCTAGGGGACAACTTGCGTTTTATCTTTACTACCTGAAAATCAGGAACTCTGTCGTTCCTGACAAAGCAGATCCTGTGAAAATAGGTCCGCAAATCCTCCAACTTTTGAGTAACCATGGGCAGGTATTTCTGAGAGAGTTTTTGTAAAACTAGACTCCTTAAAATCACATTTCTGGCAAGAAATGCCTCTTTACTGAGCTATCATCTTGGGGAGAAAATATGTTTGTACTTGGAAAAAAAAAATCTTTAGGTTTTAACTATTCTTTTTTCTTTTCCCACTAGTACAAATTAAAGCTGTGAAAATCTGATATTGATCCCTTATTTCCTCTGACAACATGGAAAAAGCTGTTTCAGAAATGTCACACTTCTAATCACAAAGGGAAAACAATGGCATTTTTGGTGTCATCTTTTTTTTCCCCCCCCTCTTCAATATGCTTTGAAATAAAGTCCTCTGATTAACAGAATCATTTGTCTGGACTGCTGTACCTTCCCATAGTCTTTCCAGTTGGTTACCACTGAATATTTCTGGAACCGAAACCCTGATAATATGGAGACTTATGGAACTAGGGCCTGCACTTTCAATGATTTGAGGTAACAAACATTAAAATCATCCAATCATACAAGATAGTTTCTAAAAGTCAGTCACAAAAGCAAGCAAATACCAAAATGAATGTTTAAATATATCTTTTTAAATTAAAAGAACTAAGGAAGTGGTCTTTAAACCTTGCAGGGTGTGTCTACATGTTCATTAATGTACCTTTGCTACTGCACATTAAGTTTAGTACCTTTAATATGAGGTATTAGATAAAGCTGCAGTAGCTGTGCTGAGGTGCAGTAGCAAAGGCAATTTTTTTGTGATGCTTAATGCGCAGTACTATTCTACTGCGCATTAACATATTAGCACCGTGTCACAGGCCAGCTGGGCACTGTGAGTGTATCAATTTAGTTGTAGGCTGACTGGGTGCTGCAACTGTATCAGCCACTGGGCTGTTTGATTTGGGTTTGAGGGGGGAGAGTTGGGAGTAAAGCAAAGGCAAATTTATTATAGCTTACACACACAACAGTTAACAGAAAGATAAATGTGACAAGCAGATAATGCAGTATTAAAGAGCTAATAGTAAATAATAACAACAGATAGAGGGATCAATCTGTCACAAGCCAACTGGGCACCGCAAGGGTATCAGCCACTGGGCTGTTCAGAACAACAGATAGACAGACATGAGTTGGCAACTTATCGATAGTCCCTCAATGCCAGGTGCACACCAAGTGATTCCAGCGAAGTCAGGCATCCCCGATCAACGCTGTCGGAGGGATTACCAGGGAAGCTCCCTTGATCAGGATCCAATTCTCACTCACACCGGGAGTCCAGAGTCTAGGCTTAGAACAATAATGACCATTCTGTTCCCTCCTTCCTGCTGGTCACCTGACACACGCGCTTTTTATACCTAGTCTTATGCTAATCTGTTGGCTTTAGAGCCACTCACAATCTTGCCCTATAGCTGTTACCCTATGGGATTGAAAGGTGTTAAAAATGATCATAAAAGGTTACTACCCAGACTTGGATTTATCCAATAAGCAAATTACAATGCAGCACCTTTAGGTTTGAAATTGACATTACTCAACCCTTTTAGATTTTCCTGAATATGCTTTCTTGAGACATACTTTCCTGGAATGTGTTGGGTGTGCCAGGCGGTTGGATCCAGTTCTTATTGTCAAGGCTGAACCCTGAACAAAAACTGTTAGGTCAGCTAATCTTGCAGTTACAGCTTCGCTTTTGGGGCCCAGTCAGTTCCACAAACAGTTAGTTTTATCATTTTGGTTAAACTTATGACAGACAAGTTACATTTGTGGGTTAAAAAATTACAAGCTTTACATTAGGCAAAAATTCCAAATGCCTCCAAGAAGCACATATTTATTGCTTGTTAATCCCTCTGGTTCTGGCCATCACAGCACGGTTTTTGCTGTGACACGCTAATGAGCAGTGGAACGATCCACTGTGCATTCAGGTGTCTTGTGTAGATGCACCCACAGTAGAGTCACAGATTATCATGGTAATAAGATGAAAGATTCCAAACACAAGGGAAATATGTATAGATTAAATTACTAAAATGCACTTGCTTTGGTAGTCAACCTCATTCTAGAAAGGATAAGGTTAACTTGATGGCCCTTCTTGGATACGACTGGCTGTGCAAAGTGAGGCCTGCATTATCCTGTTACATATTTCTGTCTAATGCAGTAATTGCTGAATGCCACATCAAATCAGTTCCTAACATTCAAGGAGTATTCAAGGTATCAATGGCCAGAAACCTACCAATTTTGATACTAAGCAGACAACCAGAGAAGTCTAATTCAGAAAAAAATCAAGGCTTCCAGAGTACCAGGTGGTTTAGATACCACCAAGTTCAGTTACCATATGTGTCAGAGATGACCACTTCCCTTGGTTCTTGGTGGAACTGTCTGTAGTCTGGATTATGACAAAGAAAGAAAGGATTGGGAGAGGAGGAGAGCAAAAGGATGGGAGAAACTAGGAGAATGGCGGTGTTGGGAGCAAGATTAGGGGAGGTGGGCTTAGATGTAACCAGAGGTAAGCAGATACCCAAAGGAGGATAAACAGATGTAGAAAGAAATGGGGGCAAATGGTGGGACTGGAAGGAACAGGGTTCTGGAAAAGAGGTGTGTGTGGGAATGATGGATTTGGGGAAAATACTGGACTTGTGGGAGGAAGAGTCTAGGGGAGAAAGCAGGGACCCTCAAGGGAACGGGAGATTTTGGGGACAGGTGGTAATGAGGGAGACAGGGAGCCAGCTGAGGAGAAAGTTGGATGTCTTAATGCGGAAGCAGAATTGCAAGATGGGGAGAGCAGAGATGGGAAAGGAAAAACAACGGCCTAGGAGAAAATGGAGATATAAAGTTGGGGGGAGGGGTGACAGAGGCTGTACTATGAGAGGGACGGAAGGAAAGAGGAACCACATGAAGGCCCTGGCAAGGCAGGAGACAAAGTGGGACCCCAGAATGGGGAGAAGGGACATGAGGGGGTCTAGAGGCAAAGAGAGGCCCTGGCAGGAAAAAGTTATGGGAGTTATAGGCAGTCCCTAAAACAGAGAAGGATGGTGTCACAACCCAAAGTTGTGATTTTTGTTTTTTTGTGTGTGCTTTGGCACCACTGAATTATTTTCCCGCCAATTCGTAGCTTTCTTTGCAGTGTGCATTTCTTCTTTGCAGCACAGAGATGCATGGTGCAAAGAGTTCCCGCCATTTGTATGATAATTCGAGCCCCATTACTGGCCTCCGTGAAATTATGCACACGTGGCGGCTAGTGATTGGCTTGCT